AATGTTGAAGGTAAAGTAACTGAATACCTTAACAATACCTTATCCGAGGAGCTACACATACATACATCAGGATATGCTTTGCTGAGATCGTTTGGCGACCATACTGGCTGCTGATCTCACTTCTCACTACATTAAAACCGAGATTAAAATGGTTAGGTGGATGGAAGTTCTCAGCTGTTGCCGAAAGTGAATTGTTATATAATTGTCATTTCCCTTTAATAAAATGGTTGTTATGTATAAGTGGTTGCTAACGATTAATGGTTGCTAACGATTAATGGTTGCTAACGTATAATGGTTGGTTGCTAACCATTAATGGTTGCTAACGATTAATAAGCTTCATCATTGTACTCGTCACTAAGGGGTAATTTATATTGTTATCGAGAGGTCGACGAAAAGGGCCTTTAAAACACACGTGCTTTAAAGTTGCTAAGTAACGATACTTCAAGTATGACTTTTGAAACTGTCATCTGGATAAAATAAAAAATCCTCTTAGGTCGCTTTCTGTAAATGCAGAACATTTCTTTGGCTTTTGTACCTATCCTTTGGTTGAAGCTTTCACAAACGCGCGTCATTTAGGGTATGCTTCCAAATCTGTTCCACTTTTTAATCGCAGCATTGTTTTAAAGTTTTGAATGAATGCACCAAAATATAGAAGATTTAAATACCTTTGTCATTTCCTTCATATATGCCAGCATTATGGATGCATTTAAGACTGTATTCGTAGGTAACTTCCTATTCATCCATGGAAACAACTTTTCATATTCTTTATAACAGGCTTTACTGGATTTGGATTTTACACCTACCAACGTTTGTTTAGATTTTACAAGCGATTTAATGGACGATGTATTATCTTTTTCAACGGAAATCGTTTTATTTACAAAGATGATGAATGATTATAAGCAAACGTCAAGTGACATTTCCATGGCAATCGTGAAATTTCGAACACCCAGCCCACTTAATTAAACATGTATTCGAGTGTAACGTCAATATGACTTCATTGTATTTCCTATTTTTAAATTATACTGCAGGTATAATAAAAAATACTATAAGATACACGTGTATAATTGGTCTTTAAAGCACTTGCAACGTTAAAGGCACTCCGCTATGCGTCGTGCCCTTAAACTCGTTGCGCGTGCTTTAAAGACTTGATTATACACTTGTATCTTAATATACTATTTTTACCAAAAATCGACTACACCAAAATTTCTCGGGAAAACACTTTTTCTTATTAATTTGGGTGCGTAGAATCCAAATCAATTCGCACTTTTTCGATCAGACTTCTCAATCAAAAGTTATAGAAACCGATTTCGAAAAAAATTCAAAGGGCTGTAGGTAACTTTTGAACTAGTAGCCCAATCTTGGAACTGTTTGAAATTATGGATTCTACAGGCCACATTCTATACGAAATTTTTTTTCCGGGTCGATCTGAGACAATTTTTTTTGGGCTCAAAAAAAGGCAGTGTATAACCAAGGGCGGACTGGCCCGGCGGGGGCGGGTGGCGATTGCCACCTGGCCTGTAGATCATACTGGTTCGGTTCACAATGGTTCGAAATTTATAAGTATGTGCTGTATTTAGTTTCTTGCATTATTAATAAATTATTAACACGTTTCTCTAATTGTGGTTGATGTTAGGTTGTTAAAAAATTCTGTTTTAATTGAAGCGTTTTACAATGAATTTATCATCTTTTGTCGTAGCATGAAAGTGCTGAAATACAATGATAGGCGACGCACCTCGTGTGGAGTGTGTATTTTGTTACTTTTAATTATCAGCTGCAATTAAAGAAAACTGTATGGTAATTGATTTTCGAGAAAGGAGTACTTTAAAATGTTTTTGTGGTGCACCTCAGAGCTAACCCCCTCGCCACCTTCATTACTACACTAATACTTTAATGGCCCGTAAGTACCCAGTCCGCCCCTGCCCGAAGTTGCCTTTTCCTCTAGGGTAGTTAAGCACAGGAGTTAGTTTGGTCTTTCGGATAGACTTAATTATCCATCACTTTGACGCATTCCAGCATACCATTATCTTTGGAAGCATTTTCCATGACTACCGTAAATTTCCCTACTCTGTGCTTTTCCGAAAAATTCTAACAGAGCTTGTATTCATACTACACCGCGATTTATTCCACAAGGATCATCATAATGGACAAGCGTGTGACATCACTACGAAAATCATAGAGACTGTGAATTACAAAACGGTAACACAACTCCAGGCATACAGTGATTAATAAGATTGCACCGATTGTGCAAAAGGCAATGCTAATTAACATTCTGAACGGTAATGAAACCGAAAGAAAAAAGCAGCAGTAGTTACTACGATCTATCATTACAAAACAAATTAAACAGTCACGAGAGGTTACTTTGGTAGGTTAATTGAAAAACCGCGGGTTCGTCGTCTAATGAATCGTTAAACTCTCCAAGTAGCATATAAACGATACACTGCGAATGATTATCGTTACCCAACAATTCAATTATTGCAAAATCGCTGCTTAATATGTACTACTGCTCGAAGGCAGTTTTGATCCAAAGTCACGTTTTCGAATACAGGAAGTCCATTCAGGCCTAATAACGGAAATACCAACTGTTGTAAAAATTGCATCTCGATTTAATTACGAATTGGTTGATTTCAATTCTTTTGCACCTGACAAAGCAGGAAATTGACATCCCTTACGTTTGGAAGTTCACATGTGGGTTTGTGGTTTATGATCTCCAATTCTTGTGTAAAGGATAACGGAAAATTGATTTCATTAGACCATTACTTGGATTACGTTGGTAGTGTGTAAGGGAAAAGAAGACTAATGTTAATGTTTACTACTCGTTTCTAACGGAATAATTGCGATGCCAAAAGAAATTGCAACGAACTCGATATGCAAATTAAACTTGTTCGACGTGACTAAACGTACAATGAATTAACATAGACTGACACAAATTCATGACCAAGACCTTCGGTAAGGTACAAGTCAAGGCCCCTCAGTTCATTATAATATTTTCGCAGGCGACAACAGAAGCTATCGGTGGCTCCTTCTCATATTTTATATTAAGAATTGTTGAAATCGAACATAATATAGTCTAATTACGACAGTAAGACACTTTTCCTTTTTACCGTTATTGTAAATTTGACGTTTACAAGTGCCGATTCGTTTAAAGAGCAGCATAGAAGTGAGTGACTTTAACGATGAGCTAAGAAACGAGCAACAATCGAACAATGAATTCAAACTTCAAGTAATAGAAAGTACCTGCATTTACTTCGTGAGATTAGAATCGTTGCCTCTTTATTAACTTGGCACGATCTTGTTTGTATGGTTTCTGTGAATTAATCTGGATAAAGCATACGTTGGTACGCAAAGCTGGAATTAAGAACTGAAAAGAGTAGCTTAGCATAATCTTGGTAAACGTTTGGAATTGGTGGCATTTACCTATGACTCTAGTATGGAAAAGGTAATTTTCGCAATTTTGATCAAAACAAGCCCTTTTGTAAATTATACAATCTAAAAAAGATTTTTTATGGGCAAACGATGGGTAAACATCAGAATTAGAGACACATTGAACCTTATTATTGAAGACACATTTTCACAATTCAAGTGAAAATTTTACTGTTACTTACTTGAGTCAATTGGAAAAAAAGAACCACTAATCTGAAACATTTTGACCGTGCTTTTGTGTTTGTGTGCTATTTTACGCTATCGGCATGGATATACGATCAATTCTTTACATTTGACAAAGTTGATTATTTTATGGCCGTTTGCACCGGCAAATTTAAGCGGAGCTTAGCTTAAGCGTTAAAATCCATGACAATAATCGCTGCCATGGATTTTAAGCTACGCTCCGCTGAAATTTGTCGGTGCAAACGGCCATAAAATAATCAACTTTGTCAAATGTAAAGAATTGATCGTGTCCATGCCTAGCGTAAAATAGCACACAAACAAGCACGGTCAAAATGTTTCAGTTTAGTGGTTCTTTTTATTCCAATTGACTCAAGTAACAGTAATATTTTCACTTGAATTAAAAAAAATATAAAACAAAATAACTTTCATCCATGATAAAAAAGCATTTTAAGAAATACGTCAAGCGGACATTCGTTCGTTAAATAGTGGAAATCAGGACGTATAGAGGGCGGAGAAATCTTTGGGTTCCAAACGAGAGATGTAGGAAACAGGGAAAATCACTACCTTATATTACAAAGAGAGGAGTGCAATTGTTATCAGCGATGGAACAAGTGAGGAAGAAGATGAGTGAGCTGTTTGGAAGCCCAGAAATATAGTCACCCGGATTGTCTGTTGGCACATCAAAAGTACAAAAGAATATAAAAATCCCATCAGGGTTTACACCACCAGTTACAGCAGTTAACACACCTTCACCCATGACGAAATGGCCACAGCTACCCACCCACTACAGAAGAGACAGTTTGAGAGCCGTTCCAAAAGGGAACATCTGTTCCTATAGGTAATTTTGGAAAAGTTGCGCATTATACAATGTTAAAGCATTCATAATTTTCAATTTGTGACCTGCCGCAAAGCATAGTACGGGTTCCACTCGTATCAGACCGGCTCCAAACCTCTTTCACAAACTCGTTTCTAAGATTTTAATTTTCCGAAAATTTTAAAATGCTCTATAATGAAATTTCATATTACTTAAAAATCCATTTAGAATTATGAACGATTTGGCCAAGAATTCTAATAGTAATACCAACATATAACGGTAGAGATTTCAATGCAACTGAAAGACACAAACCCCGTATTTTACACTAACTAGAAATGTATTGTTAAGTGTAACAATAGTGGCGTCATGTCGAGTACGCTTGCAATGTGTTGTTGCAAAACTGCAGTTGTTAATTAATACAGAAGAATAGTGTTTACGACGGACCAGTAAGAGATGTGAGCGCCTATCAAAATAAAGAAGAGGCGCACTCGGTTTGGTATTACGCCATTAAAAGCACATTTAACTTAAAATTGAAACAGAGCGGAATTTACGTCCCCATTACAGCAGTTACGAGTTTACTTACCGCAAAATGGTATTCCTTCAGGTAACCACTGTCCATGCTCGCATACGCGCCTGGACGGCCCTAAAAGCTCGAATCCTCGTTCGCACGTATACGTAGCCACCGTTCCAGGTCCCAAAGTTTCGTCCGAAAAGATTACGTTAGAATGTGCGGGCGCACCAGGAAATCGACATCCATCCTGCACATCTGTATCTGCAAACAAAACCCACAATTAACCCAAGGAATGCGTAATAAGTTAAATTGCAGTATAGAAGAAATAGTTGTGTCAATTTAATCTATATCTTTATTATTACATAGTCGATGTATCAAGGAATTTAGTTCCGCTCTGAATGATTCACGCAGCATACTTCCTCGATCGTGGGATTTTAAGTACAGGTGAGCTGAATACGCAATTTCGTCCGATTTGGCTTGCGAAATGAAAAACTACTTGTTTTCCTACAGGAGAATCGGTTACCAATTTCGTGAGTGCAATTTTTCGGGCGATTCTAATAAATAAGATAATAGAAAGTATCACGGTGTTTTTAAAGTCTGTCACAAATACAGTAAACCTCCTTCACAACGAGAACAATATCATGGACACTGTACCAGTGACCCACAAATTCCCAACGAAGGAGCACTGACTGCACTCGACTTTAATAAACGTAATCTACCTAATAAGAAATTTTATCATAATGGTGATTCATTTTTTAAGCTTGAGACCGGAAAGTCTTTCAATGATTCTCATTCTTATATTATTATTGTTTATATCAGTTAACCTAATTCCGCTTCAATAAGTGAAGAAAGTGTATAATTCTTTGCAACTTTACTTTGAGGTCACTTCATTTGTAGTACTTAAATATTTGTGTACCTTTTTTACGAGGGGGCGACGGGGCAAGAATTCACTTTTTAGTGACATCCGGTTGTAAAATGTCTTCGCTCGTAACCAAGCAGTTTAATCACCCCGTTTTCCGGAAGGGGTACCACACACCATCAGCTATTTCTACGTTTTACAAATTTTTCAGAAAATAAAAATTAATGAACACTTTAGTTTGAGTTCATATACCATGTTCGAATTTAAACTTCCAGATTTTCGACTATACAGTGAAATTGAAACAGGTTAATCCCTTATTTCTTCTTTACAGATTCAGGTGTTGCCAAAGAAATTATATGTACAGGTGTGCCCTTTTAAGCTTGTATTAAGGAAATTGAATACTATGTAACCGTTGTAAAGATACAAAAGAAGAAGGTATCTAAAATCTAAGACAATATTTAGTATCATACCAGGATACTCTTTTACTTTTCGTCAGGATGAAGCGAGACTTGGCTTGTAATCGTTTAAGATCAATCAATTCTCTGTTATTTACATCGACAAATCAAGATTTATATTTACCAAGTATAAGTTTTAATTGCTTGCATGTTCCTTTATTTGCACATATCCCTACGATCTTTTTAATTATTTGAACATTTTAGATGTGTTCAATTCCACATGACATCGTGGATAAGCTATGTTTAAAAGATGGAAGCTTCAAATACAAAAAATGTCAACTACACAAATATAGAATTATAGTCACTTTATGGACTCACCACTTTCACGTCACTTTATGGACTCACCACTTTCACTTCACCCTGTTTTTTTAGTCATTTATATTTCATGATACCTAAAGAGTTTTTAACCTTGTTACCGATATTAATATCATTTGTTTTTGACGAATCACGTTTAAGGGTTATTTGAAATCCTCATTTATTAAGACCTCCTAAAATTGACACCGTTGAAACTTGCCACCGGAATATACGGCCCCGAAAACTTTACTCTCCCGCTAATTGCGATAGTTTCTTATCCAAAAATCCCTCTTTAACTTTCAGCGCATGTTTCTAAATCGAAGTTGGGCTATTGGTTTACATTTGGCTTCTTCTTCTTCAAAATATCCCTTCAATTTTGCGTTTCTACCTTAATAACCTTAAATAAATAAATTCAGTGAATAAACTAGTAAGTGTCCATTAAGTGAATATCAAAACAATACATTTAAAAGCAAAGTTCATCATTAAATTCTTGTTGAAATCTCCATATTTATAGAATTTGCTGTCCACTTAACCGAGAAACATAATATTAGTTATAATTACTTTAAATTTTACCTTCTTGCACACAACTAAATTATACCATTGAATTTATTCAATGATTATACATAGAAAAAAGAAAAGATTTCAAATGAAAGTGAGGAAGTAAATGAGTTGGTCTTAAATCCAGTCTTTACTCAAATATTTTATTTCGCTATTCTGATTTGCTGATTGATAATTGTGACTATATAGGTAGCAGCTTCGTATCTCTTAATCGTTTAAAAGTATTTCGCATTTTTTCTACTAAAAATTACTAATCTATGACTTTTCCACCACGTCTTCCAAAGTTTTTTTTCTACTACAATTTTTATAAAACTCCAAATATTAATTCTACATAACTTTTTCATGTCTTCTATTCGTTAAAAAGTAGGTACCATTCGTTTCTCCGTTTCTTACTAAATATTTCTAATGTGGAAATCTTCAAGAGTTTATGGCACTTCTTGAAACCTGTTATTTTAGCCTATCGAAACACAATTTTCTCATTTTAAACTTCGCTCATATACAACTCTCATACAGGAATGTTCATTTGAAAACTTCCCACCACGGATTTATCGAAGAAAAAAAGATTTGTCAAGGGGGACAACTTTTTAACAAAAAAATACTCCACCCCTTTTCACCCTCTGCTCCCCAGGGTCATTCCCTTAAAAGTGGTGTCGAGTAATAGCTTGTTTGAAAGGTCGTTCGAAGTCCTTTATTTTGACGTTTGATTTTTTAAAATCGGTCGATTCATTTCCGAGAAAATTATCCAATCCGAACTTTCAGGTTAAATTAAATTAAAATAACTGACAGCAAATTAAATTCTTTCTTTCCAATAGCAACAAATAAGTGATAGTTTCTTTATTTTTGTTTTCTATAGGTCGATTAAATAAATTAAACGAAGATTTTTTTAATTTTTTCGAAAACGAATGGCAGATTTTAGTAAATCAAACGTCAAAATAAATGGCGTCGAAAGACCTTCCAAACAAACTATTACTCATTCCCACTTGTCATTTAAAATTTTTAAGGGAATGACCCTAGGAGTTTTTGGCTAAAAAGTTGTCCCGCTTGACAAATCTTTTGTTGTGTCTCGGCGTTTTTTTTTCTTTAATCAATGGTTTTCGATAAATCCGTGATGGGAAGTTTTCAAATGAACACCGTGTAAGTATATGACCCAAAGTTCTTTTTAGGGCAAATACGAGTAGCTAAACCGAGAGCTAAACCGTACTTTTTATTTGATTTTTGCACGTTCCTTATTACTTTCATAGCAGCATTTTCTGTTGAACCAGCATTTCGGAAGTCAAGGTTTCTTTTTAGATATGTTCTTGTTCTTTTATGGTTTATGTTTTAGAGTTAAATAAAATCTTTCGAAATATTTTAATAGAGTTTCTACATGGACATTTTTTGTTTCTTTTGTTTATCTTTTTTACGTAGGTTTGATAATTGCAAACAATTCCAGGCCTCTAGGAAAATTCCCCTGAACTAGTAGTTCAAAACTGCAGACGAATTGGACCTCAAGTTGTAATTCTGGGTAAAATTCGCTCTTTTTATAAGGCGAATTTTCCTAGAGATTGAGTTTTTTGAGGGCGAGTTGACTTGAAGCGGGTTTTTTAGAGGCTATAATAGTCGGATGCAAATAAATGAGGAGGAGGAATTTACCCGAGGGAGAGTTTTCTTGTGAATGAATATTCCGCAAAGTGTAATTTTTTTTAATTTTGTTTTGTCGGGCGCGGTTGCGAGAGCTCTGTTAACTGACAAATTCCAGTATTTTCAGGAAAATCTCTGCCAGAAAGTAACTTGATTTTGCTTTCACTGCACCACCCTGATGGTTTTATTATCTCATTGAAACAGAGATTGAAACTTATTCGATAGTTAATCTCTTATGAGATACGTTCCATTCCAAGAAATTAACTATCTGGTTATTTAACTAATAAATGAGAAACGTACCATTCGTAGTTTATACCCTACACATATTTTAGACGAGCAGTATTAGTAGATTTCAAAAGGGCATTACCTTATGGAGAGCCTCACCCTCGGCTTCACCTGCCAAACGTAAACAAAAATTTGCATAACTTCAATGCAACCGTTTCAAATGTTTGAATTAATAAGAAAATTAAAAAATTATAATTTATTAATACTAAAGGCATTATGAGGTAGTGTTCAGCAAAGCATTAAGAATAGTAAAGAAGCGTAAAAAAATTATTGCGTACACGTACATCAAATCAACGCACCACTATCATGGTAAAAACCTGCAACAAATGAATGAAGGGCCATAATTACAAATTTCAATCTGCGTTAATCAGATTTCTTTCTTCTGGTTATGCCAAACATTTCGACTTTCATTGTAATAACCCATAATGTCATTTATTGTGCCAATAATTATAATATGAAAAAACGAATTAACAATACAATGCGATCAATAATATGAGTTGCTGTCCAGTCACCTTTGGGATGTTTGTTTACATGGGAATTTGTATTTAACTGGAACTTCCAAAGGCGACTCTACAGCAACTTATTTTTGATCGCCCATTATTATTTTAGGTAAAAAGGGAATTGCTCAGTCAGTCAAATGTAATAGTAATAACTCGAGTAATAATATACTTTGACAACAGGAAATAATGGGATAATTCAAGTAAAGAAAAAGATACGTGAATACATATCGAGTATAAGACAATGTTAAGAATGGAAATAATAACGTCTTTTTAATTCATATTTTTGAAATATAGTAAATAATAAAATAAAATACTATCCAACCAGCGAATACCAGAAAGAACAGAGAACGGCGTGTTTCATTTAATAATAAAAATCAAAACTGTTTATGCAACAAATTAAAAAACCTGAAGCTTGCAGTACGTCAGAGAAACAAACTAAACCTGAATCCTTCAGTAAAAGTTAAGGGAAGTAAAAGTTGTAAATATCGCCAACGTTCGAAACGAAAAAATTGAAGGGAGGTCTTTAAGATGTATGAAACTACACAGTAAGCCCGATTGCCTCAAAGTGTTCAATGAAAAAATTAACGTTTTCGATTTGATATTAGTGGTGCCTGATCAGTACACCATTTTTAGTGGCGTCAATTAAATTTTGCATCATGTAGTTAAAATTAACGGATTTCAAATAAATATCAAATAATAACGCTTCGATTTTGAAGAAATTAACTTCTAAAAATGTTTTAGAGTCGTTGACGAACATTTTCAATTTTTTTGTAGGTCTTCAAGAGCCTTAAACAGTTCAATACCAGGAGATACTTCCTTCAGTTTAAGGTATTAAATGTAAATTAAGGACAGTGGGGTGTAATTGTTTAAAAATTTATATTGAAACAGAGCTCAACCCTAAAAAAGTCAAGTAATTAATCACTTGCCTCGCTGAAACTAACCAATGAATATAAATACTCGTACCGTACCATGTCAAAATTTAGATATGCCACATGGAATCCTTAATCTGGAAAAAAGGCCTTTGTGAACACTTTTTTTATTCCTCAAAAGTGCCTTTGATTTGCAATTGTGAATCTTGTTTTGTCTGGGACCTTTACTTGATTGACATTGCTATGAATTGCAAGTGGTCGAATACTACAAGAAGAAAAGTTCCAGAAAGGTTTGAAGTTCAACACTTTGTGTCTTTTTCAAAAAGGAAAGTTATTTAGCAATTCTTTTTTTGTTTTTTACAAACCACAAAACACAAAATGGCTCAGTAAAGAATTTATGTAGAAAAAATCGTATTATGGGATAGTAGGCATTTCGTTCGCTAAAAGTAATTTACTCCCTGAATGATTCAAAACTAATTTAAATCTGGACAAATTCAGAGTTATTGCATAATTTCTATAATTTAAGAACGAATTCCTATTTTTAACAAAAGAGAGTAATTTCAAGCCTGGTTAGTCGTAGATTTTTTGCGGGGTCATTAAAATTATGTTCCCACTGTAATATAAACATAACTTGTAAAATCTAACAGATTGTAAACTAACAAAGCCAAGCAAATTAAGTTAACTTTTTTCCCGCTTCATTACAGGAAAGAGGTATAATGTCTCAAACGGTAACATTGGCTGTATTTATGTTTGAAAATTTTGTAACCGTACAGTTACTTAATCGATTTAATAGTTGTAAATGAAAACGGTACGGTTACCATATGCCGTCTCCGATACGTCTCCGCGGGCAATGGGAAAAATGTGCGTTTAAATAGCCCATTGTTAGTTCAAGTTCAATTAGAAATCGCACGAGTGTACTGCTCAAAAAAAAGTGAACACAAATTGGGCTAAACGTGAGCCTACGGATCCGTGAATTGTAATTAACGACATCGCCATTTAAAGAAAAAAAAAAGTAAAACGCCAATAATTGAATTATCTAACAAATATCATTCAGTTCCCATCGTTACGATTGTTTGAGGAAAAAAGCGGAGAAAGTGTAATTGCTACCTTTTACCACATCAATACTAAATGAAACATGTCACCGTTATTCTAATCCCTGCAAAATTCTCACACATTTTCCTTGTTAAACTAGAGAAAGCGAAAGGATTAATAAGGAAAAATCGTCATTAGAAATAGTTCAATTTTACCGCTAGTTGAAATTAATCATTAGAGCCATACCCTATGTTGAATGTGTTACATACCGATTTAAAAAAACTAAACATGTTTATTGTCAATTAAAAATGTAGCGCGTTTAAAGTAGGTTAAACAATTTCAGGTCGGCATTGATACCACCCTTAGGGGTATTACTCAGGTAGATCTAAGGTTTAAAGGGTGTAAACTGCATTCCTTTCTAATTCGATTCGGACGGTGTGGCGCAAGGAATGTTGAATCTGGTTCGATCGGTCTCAACTTACCCTGAGCGAAGGGTGCGTTAATTCCAAAAAGGGTAAAAAGGCACACTACGTAAGTCCACTGACACCAAAACATTTTGTTAGCACCTGTCGACGTACCGGCCGCTACTGACTTTAGAAGTACTGCCGCAATCTTATGGAACCAGGCCATCCGTCCACGCCGCGTTGAAGAAGTAAAGAGTGAAGACCCACACCTTCCACTTTTTCAAGAGAATTTCTTTCTAAGGTGGTCTTATTCTACAATACAGCTATAACGATGATTGTAGCTTCGGTTTTTTGTATAAAATTACGATTTTTATTATAAATCCTTCGAGTGGAACAGTCTTCAATCGTACCCGTGTTTATAGTCTATGAACTTTTTCCAGTCATCACTAACTACCTGCTACGATAATAACTCAAAGTAATGAATATGTTTACATAAACCGCCCCTATTTGCGAGGATATTGCGGAATCATGTGAAAGTATGTGCACAGTTCTATACCAATCGCCGTCATTCTATGATTAACTTACTCTATGTGTCACTAACGGTGATTTCTAAGAAGATTAGTGTCAAATTTCTAACATTTTATTGGATTATTAACTCGTCTGTGTATACATAATATATAAAATTATAGGGTTGTAATGATCTACTCAATTTACAATCCTCCAGTTTTCGAATATATTTAAACATTTACAACTACGCGTAAAAGCTGTAAGTGATGGGGTCTCATGCCGCAGCGGAATGCACGTAAGGGGCACTTTTGTGTTCCTTGGGAAAGTGAGAGCTTGTTTGGCAAATACGTAATTGTATCCCCTTTCACTAGTTCCCATAAATATAGTCGTTAGTTTCGTACCATTGTGACACCCATCATATCCGATACTTACCTTAGACGGTAAAGATTACTGACATCTAGTTTGGCGATTCTAAGATGGTTCAGAAAATTAAAAAACGTTCGTTATCATATATATGATGGATTACCTACCCCTAATAGCTCACATAAACCAAGCAGCGATTACTCACATTATCTTGCAGTGGTAGCTATCGCTCTACCCTGATTAGCCGCAGCGCGTTTCAGATTAAATTGTATTTTATAAACTAAAATAGTGTTACTGCTTGTTGCTATTTTTTATTTTCTCTTTCGCATTTTAGGCTCCGGGGAACGTAAGTAACTTACCTGCGGATTGATGCCCATGACCAATGATTATAGCGGTTATTTATATATGTACGTTTTTGGATATGCCCTTTCTGATTTTATATAATAGTGTGTGACAAGATAATTCCGATCTGGGCGCAATTTATAGATATTCCAAGGTTATAGTTTTTGAAAGGTTACAAAAAATCCAACATCAATTCGTGTCAGTGCAACAAAAATGGCCAGAACTTCATAGATTTCTAAAAGTATTTAAGAGCAACCATTGAATAGTTTTTAGATTTTGTACGCGTCTTCGAAGTATAACAAAAAATCTTTTGCATCCAAAATTTCCTAAAAACTAACAAAAATGAGGCACATTATAGAGAATGAGGTGGGCCTTTTATCGACATTTTTTTTACAAAACCATAAGGGTAGTGAAGAAGTCAGTCAGTTGCAAACGCAAAGCGTCTTCTAGACACTGAACGATCTTATGATGTTATAGCAGCTTGAGCCACCGATTTTTTTGGGAGAGAGAGGATGCGCCCAGAAACTACACAACTTTTTAACTGCTGCCCGATTTAATCGGTTATGCGTTTTTTGCGGCAACAAAATACATTTAATGTTTAATAGTGTTTATCTTTCATACCCCGATTTCTAAAGTGATCTATGACTCATACACTACATTATTTTAGGCACAAAAACACAAATCAGGTTAATCGTAGGAAAGTTTCAAAATTCAATAAAGAGCTTGACTAAGACATTGATATGCCTATACAATAACCAAATGATTTTCGACATTTTCACCTCAAGTGAAATTATATTTTAATTGAGTTGTGTCGGTTCTGTTCCGGAATCCGGTTAGTTACCAATTCTGTAGGAATTAACGAAACGTAATTAATTAATCATGCCAACATCGCAACTCATCTCGGATACTGTTTCTTCAATGAGATAATAGACATATCACACTTTTGTCCTCCTTTTGATATTATAATATGTTAATAAAAGGTAACCAGTTATAAACCATACAAATTTCTAACTGTGAAAGTTTTTAAAATTCACTTGGCAAAGCTTTTAATTTCTTCTCAATACGGCTACTAACAGCAAAAATATTAATCCGTTAACATTCTTAATAAATAACATCACATTCATTATGCCATTTATATAATCGCATGTGATCATTTTTTGGCAACAACACTGGGTTACCGTAACGACCGGATATCCCAAAATTATACCAAAATGGAAGGCAAAAAACACATTTCTAAACAATAACGAAAAATTTATACTTGACAAAACTGTAACTCAAGGCTTCTGTTGTAAGAAGGGAAATCTTGTAACAGCGACCGTGATATAAAGATAATATAATACCATCATAATTATAAATAAAGATAAATCTGTTTGATATTGAAATTTTGAAATGTTTACACAGACATTCGAAGGAAAGAAGGTTACATGATGACGAAAATTGGTTTTAATCTTTTCAAGAAGCACATACAGCAATGCAATTTTATATGGTTTGTTGCATGTACTTGTATTGTAAGATCTTAGGTATTAAAAATCTTATTTTAACATTAGTTATCTATGACACCGGAACATTTTAAGCGGCAGCATTTATTAAACATCCTTGTGCTATAATTTTTAAAGAGAAAAACTATGTGAACTAGTTTTTAAATTATTGATGATGGCTTCGGAAAATTCGGAAAATTAGCTTTTGGTACTCACAAGAGTTATTTTGCTTTGTTGGAGTACCAAACCACGTTATCGACGGCGACCTTATTATTAGTAATGGCATCTAGGCATTGAGCGTAATGCAAATCGAGGTAGCAATTACGTTCCTTTATAGTTATACTACGCTGTAATTTATTTAGCTTAATGAGTATTAAGGGCGAATTTCCTTACAATTTACCGATGATTATCTATAATAAAAGAATCTACGCACTTCTTTTTTTATTCAAATCGATACTCATCCAGTTAAGACAAAGGTAATGGTCATACACGCATTGTGCCAAAAATCCATGTCTCCAGGATGTTCAGATACGCACGTCCACCCCTTCTTGAGGTATAGGGTACCCCTTTTCCGTGACAACTTCCCACCACTTTTGGAAGCACTAACGAAATATTTTGTGCCAATCGTTAGTGCTTAATTATGCACGAAAAAGTAACACAGCACTTCCACTCCTGTTTGGGGTACTGGGACTCGCTTTCCGTGCCAATTTCATACCACTTTTGGACGCACAAACGAAATATTTTGTATCAAATCGTTAGGTACTATACTTTGTTTCACTGGTGCTGAACCTGACGTCATAAATGTGATTCTCTCTTCATTACATTTAAATCGATTGAGACAAAAAAATTACGTCATTAACGTAAGTCGTGACAAATAAACCAATTATTGATCTGTCAATAATATCAATCCGTCAAACGATTTTCGTTATAGACAGATTTCCAGTGTTAAATGCCTTTTGATTAGGTAGTTTGTGTTAAAAGTGAAGTAAATATCATCAAAGTTAAAAACGCTTAGGCAAGTCCACAGTGCAGCAACGCCGTTAACAGACAAGTATTTTAAAAATTTTACATAATGGTTCGATTCGCTTATATCATGAATTTAGGTCATTACCGTTACAATTAGGTAAATATGACGAACCGATACACAGAAGGTGAGCAAAGTTTGATTTTGAAGTTGATTCAGTACTTCCAAGGGGAAAAAGAAGCAGGCAAAACTTTATTACCTGTAAGCGCAGTATATGATGTAAGTGTTTCCTATATGCGTTTGCTATAATCATATGCTTACTTAATCACAGAGGGTTTGTGCTGCCCTGGGTGTATCGTTGTCGACTGTAAAAAGAATTAGTACAAGAGGTGTTAAAAAAGATGACGATTACAAATCGCAAAAAAGTGTGGCTATTAGTTTATCTCACGGACCTCCGCTGCATGAAATACATGAACATTTAATAAGGACACGGATTTATGCAATGTATGCCACAGGCCACAGGTAAATAACATTCTTTATGTTCTAAGGGAAGATTTGCTTCAAATGAAGAGGTTCGCTAGAACACTTATTGAATTGATTTTATAGGTGAGAATGTTACACTCCGTTGTACCAAACGCAAGTCTAATTTTTAAATCTGGTAGCAAGTCCGGAGACTATCATGACTCCATGAATTGCCTTAACTTTGAGAAGTGGTTTGAACAACAATTGATCCCGAACTTGGATGAACCTTCTCTTATAATTATGGACAACGCTTCTTACCATTCAGGATTGGTAGAAAAAAGTCCAAATCAATGCTGGACAAAAATGTCACTTATAGAGTGGCTAACATCACGAGACATTACATTTGCACCAACAATGATGAAAGATCAGATCTGGGAAGTAGTGAAAAATCATATACCACCAAAACTATTTAGGTAGGCACCGCTGATAATTAAATGTTTGGTTGCAGTTAGGTAGACCTTTGCATAGGAAGCAGATTGTTATGGTTTTTTTTCACTCCACGTTGATTTTTACAGATTGGACGAATTAGCATTACAACATGGTCATCGTGTTTTGAGACTTCCTCCATATCACTGCGAGTATAATCCAATCGAAATGGTATGGTCAGAATGCAAACGGCATTACGATGCAAGGATCGGTTCAATTCAGCCTGTCACACACAGTGCCGTTTTGTCTTTATGGAATGAGGCACTGCACAAAGTAACCTCTTTATATGCTGTTTTGTGAAACAGTACTTAATAACTTTAATGTTTAGGTTACACCAGAAAAATGGAAAAGATAGTTTGATCATACAAGAGGCATTATAAACCAGGCCTGGGAACGGGAACAACATATTGATACATCAGACATCTTACCGGTGATTGTCAACTTGGACGAATCTGATAGTGACGAAGATTATTATGATGATTATATTCATGAGGCAGAAGAGAATGAGCGTGTTTAAGAATATTATTTTGGGCCGTTTATACATATATACCTACTTGTCGTGTAGTGTCGTTTTTTCTTTTGTACATACGATTTGAATATGAACATTTGAGAGTTTTTTCAGGAATAAATATCTTCACTACCTGTTTTCTCTCACAATTGCGTTTTTTTTTAATAAATCGGATCAGAAGATATTCAAGATCCTTATGCGAATATCTCGAGTGTGTGGCAAAAGAACAGAAACTGTATGTATGCGTTGTTATTTCAATGAGCCTGTGGTATAATACCTACGCTTTATCTCAAATTTGTAAGATATATAAATGCGAAAGGCTTACCGATAAACCATCACATGGCCTATTCTACTTCTGCAAATGGCTAGTTAAGGGTCATTAAAATTCGCGCAACTTAACGCGTATTCTTCACATTGGTAGCATACTTCATTTCACATCAACATTAGGTAAACAAAATATTAATTTACGAACTGCCTAAACAAACTTTAAGTTACAAATGTTCCTATGCGTTTTCTGTAACCATCATACACTTCATCTCAAAGAGTTTCTGATGCTCTGGCAGTATCCATTTCGACTGTCGGTGCAAAGAATCGGTTACATGAGGTGATTACAAACGGTGGAAAAAGTTTAATCTCGAGTTTAATTCATACCAACGGAGTTCCTCTACATAAAATACATGACCATTTAGCCATTATAAAACCTGGGGACAGGAAAAAACCTATCAGGACCAGATGCCTTACAAGTGATTGTCAACTTGGACGGTCTGATAATAATGAACGATAGTGACACCTTAATAAATAAGTTGAAACGTCAATGTGACAATATGTAAACCAACTACTAATTTACGACCTGCCTTAATTTTGCTATGACGTCAGATAGTGTGACGAAAGGTTCAGCACCCTTGAAACAAAGTATATCTGTATGATGCACGGACCATGGGGCAACAAAAAAAAGTCGGCAAGTTCCCGATTTCCCAAAGAATTTTTGTGTCGAAACCATTGAGGTATATCCACAATACAGGAGAATGGGACAATGCAGAGATTAATTTTAATCTGTGGACAATGGGAGAAGCTTTACGGTAAACAGTATACTGTTTGATATAATCGATGGGTAGTTCCCTACAACCCTAAATGTGCTGTTCTTATACATTCACTAATAAGCCATTCCCTATAACCCATACGTAGGTACTTTATAAATAGAAAGTACTACGCATATGGCAAATTAAACGTCTGGGAGTTGTCTTAGACCACAGGTTAACTATTAATGACCACATACAGAAAAGCATAGCAAGTAGGGTTCATAATTCGACATGGTAAGAACTTCTCAAAAATAAGGATTTCAAAGCTTCTTTTCTCATTTATGGGGAAACTACACCTGGAATACGCGTGCATATTATCTAGAAACCTCAGTGCAATACACAAAAAAAACGTTTGGAAAGGGTTCAGAAGAAATTCTTGAAATATTTAAATTATAAAAAGAAGTGGAGAGTACACATATTTTATTCCATACTCTGAACTTCTACCTAGACTTCTACGGTCATTTCATATGGAAAGTGTCGGAAAGAGACCTCAATTAGCGTAACTCGTTTATCTATACAAATTATTTAGTACAACCACAACGGAACTTAAAATAATCTGTACTGCAAGACGCAAAGGAATTGTACCGAAGGATTGGGAAATAGTATTGCCAATTATTAACAAGTTAAAAAGTAATCGTAAACGATTTACATAAAGCGCATTTCCACTTGCATTCATTTCCCATTTATAAGATGCAACTTCTGTTAAAATCGAAAAAATTCGGCCACAAATATGCAAGATAGCGTTGCACATGGGCAATCCATTTTTGACGTGTTACTTCAATTTCAGTTTATGAGAATTTCATTTCAATGCTTTTCTAAATAAGAAAGTTGGAACTGCGCATGCGCAAACCTAAATTTTAAAACTAATGTTAGATTTTCCTTTGTTCCAAGCGCCTAAGTATCAAATTTCACTTAAATGGTGCCATAGATAAAAAAGTTGGCACTGCGCATGCGCAAAAGAAAATTTTGAGACTGGCGCTCGATGATCCTTTATTCCAAGTGCCTATGTATCACATTTCATTTAAATTCTTCCATAAATAAAAAAGTTGGCACTGCGCATGCGCAAAACCAAATTTTGAAACTGGCGTTTGATTTTCCTTTATCCCAAGTGCCTATGTATCAAATTTCGTTTAAATTCTTCCATAAATAAAAAAGTTGGCACTGCGCATGCGCAAAACCAAATTTTGAAATTGGCGTTTGATTTTCCTTTATCCCAAGTGCCTATGTATCAAATTTCGTTTAAATTCTTCCATAAATAAAAAAGTTGGCACTGCGCATGCGCAAAACCAAATTTTGAAATTGGGTTTGATTTTCCTTTATTCCAAGTGCCTATGTATCAAATTTCATTCAAATACTTTTATAAGTAAAAAAGTTTGCAATTCGGTTTATAAATGGTCGAGATGCGAAAAGGGCACTGTGAATTTTGAATCGATTCGATTCAACTTTTGGCATTGCGTATTATATGGCTAAAGCTATGCCCATATTGAATTTCATGCAATTCAGTTCATAACTAACGGAGATGTAAAAGCGATCGAACATTTCTAAACAAAGTTATCGTTCACACGGACAGATAGATGGACAGACAGACAAAGGAACAGACGGAGAGACCAACCGGCAGGCGACAGATAGCAATGCAAAATTATAAACGATCTCTAGGATCGTTAATAAACGGCAAAAGTGTAAAATTACGGACAGGACGGACGGAACGGACGGACGGACGGACAAAGTGGCCACAATAGCGCATTTTATTTTTATTTTTGTGGAAATGCGCTAAAAAACGAAACCCAAACCCGCAACTACTTATAGACCTACCTTCACTGAGTAATGCTCTAAAACTAAATGCATCCTAATACCATTGTATTTATAACGAACTAATACCTATATCCTAGAAGACCAAAGAAACGTATTATTTTCCAAAAATGTTTGTTAATAGCGAACTTTACGCAAACGATTACGTTTCGACTTCATCCAGCAATTTACATTAATATTAATAAGGACGCTAGTAGGTATATTATATTCTCAAAAATTTTAGGAGGAATGAATCTAAAATCGTATGACCGTAAAAATGGTGAAATTTAAAAGCAAGGAGATGATTAAATGTGATATACCTTCTCACAGTACAAGCTTTCATATTCGTTTGCACTTGTAGTATTTTTCAGTGCAAAATTTCTGACGCGGTGGAAAACGAAATAAACAAAAACTTACATTTGAGCTCGTATTTGAGCCATTTTCCACTAAGTGAATATTTACAAAGATATGTAGGTTCGACATTTTATACTTCTGCACACTGTAAAATAAATAGGAGCTTTTAGGTAGGTATTTAAATCCCCCGCAGGCTGCAAACGCTACACGCTACACGCTTATTATATGCGGGTGCGAAATTCTCCAGGAATCGAAATGTCCAGGGCGCACAAGGCGTAGATGAAGATTACCGGGTGCGAACTATCCAAGTGACAAGTGCGAATTGCCCGTGAGCGAATTATTCTACAAACACCTTCTCCTTTATATCGGTATTTTGAAGCTTTTGACGGGGAATTTCTACAGGGGTGTGCACTCTGGACGTACCTACTAATAAAATGAAGATTACAAGGAAATTGACAAAGTGTTATGGGATTACCAGGACCCAGGAAACTGGTTCGTTTTAAAATGATGGCTCTCTATATTAAACGTATAATGTGTACTACATTTTGCGTTTTTAATATACATTTTACATACAGTTTCCGGACGAATGAAAAGGGTAGGTACTCACTAAAATGTTAAACTACTATTAGCTAATCTTATTTAGCAATCCTCAACATCACTCCAGGTGACCACCAAATACTATACAGATACACATTGCATTTGTGTGTTTTACGCAAAAAATTCTAGTAAAATACCTAATAAAACAACTTAGTAATGGCTCGTTGTATGTCAATGAGAAAGTAATTAAAATAAACTGCATAACTAATGATATTGTAATGACTACAATACACAACAATGAATATAATAAATCTGTTTTTATGATTAAGTAGAGTGTATAGAAATTTTCTCAAAGTAGGCATCACCCCGCCGCCTGATTGAAACTCTTTACGTAAATTACGTGGTAATCTCCAGTCGGAAAACATTTAACGATCCCACTTTGTGAAAGAAGTGAAAAACGACTTATGGAAGAATTATTCATCACTTTCCTGATCGACCCGAACTCGTTACCTCGTTACTTTCTATCAATTTTCTTCTAGGTATTCAAAAAATTTACATAAACGTAAACAATTTTCAACATGATTGCCTAATAATTTGTGCGTGCAGGACCGCTCCAGTTGCGTAATATACGCAACGAATATATGGGTTAATAGCGGATCTTCAAACCGATTTTGCTAATTTGACTGCCCGAAATAATCTTCGATACAGTTCCATTCTCGCACCTTCTGAGAAAACGAATAGCAATATAGATGCCGATAGACGTTTAGGTATAACAGTTTTTTTAAGAAATAAATTACTCCAAAACTTTTCGGATGACAAACCCTACAAAATCGACAATTAGCTGCTCACGTGCCTAGACTATCTATTACGGAAGTAACGGACCTTCGTTTAGCAGTAATGTTTATTATCTTGTAAACTAATTATTTTCTCCATAATTAACAAAATGCAACACTAATTTCAACACAAAAGTTTATTTCAGCCACCAGAGAATCCCATACCTATATAATAATGTAGTACCACAATTTTGTCATATGGATTAGCAAGGCGGGCAAAATTCACTTTATGAAGTGAACAGACGTTGAGTAAGTCTGAAACGAATGGCACCACCCACCCCCAAGTAACTGTTTATTGTGTAAGAGGCTAAAAGAGGAAATATTTAAGCAAATATATTTTTGTGGAAGAAAATTCGGAGGATATACAAGAGAGGTGTTTTTAGATCGGGGAAAGTTAACGCAATGCACAAATTTCTCACGGTAAATCAAGGGAAGTTGTGGCAATTTTGTACTACTGATGAGAAGTAGCTGGATATA